ACCTCCTCCTTCGCGCTTTTGTGAGATCAAAATTTAAACAGCATGTAGCTCATACTTTCAGGCTTTCTCCTGTGCTAATGGGAAAAGAAACGCAGAAGCCGCTTTGTGTTAGTCTCAAGGCCATTTTTAGACTGCTGGAGATCTGATTACAAGAGTTCTATTTATGGCTTGACAAAAGATGAAATATTGTAGTACAAGTGTGATTCTCATCTTAAAGTACAGCAAGCCATTGGATACGTTTATACAACAGCAGCGCTTCTCCCGTTCAGAGGCTATGTCCTAACCTAATTCTAACTTTAATGAATTCGTTCAACCAGAAAATTTCTATCTTCCCAGTTTCTTTTGAAGAACTCAGTAAAGGTTCTCACTACTACTTTAGAAAACTTGGGATCAGAACACCTTCTTGTAGCCCTTCGAAAAAATAATAAAAATATCGGTATATTTCTGAGAATGCGTGAAATGGATAGGGCTTTCAGATGCACTCTGCGAATGAAAAAGCAATTTTTTCCAAATTTTTTATTGCAACAAACACAAATTTACATTTATCGCTGCCACTGTGGCTGCCGCTTGCCTGGCATCGCATTCACACGTCTCTGTGGCATACTAATGAGACAGCAAATGGGCAACACCCACTAACACGACCACATTGAGCGGTGGACAAGCGCTGAAAATAACTACAATGCGGCAACATTAGTCACTCAGTAGTTGGCAGTTCGCTGGGCCAAAATTAATGTGACAGTTATTTTCGGTTTTACCATAAAAGAGGGCCTCGAGCTAAAAAGCCGGCATGTCTGGCGAAACCTCCTATATATAATATATTTCTACTACATAGAAGCAACACTGTGCACATGTGAGTATTCGCAAGGTTGCCAGCAGTTATGACTTTTGCATTTTTATTTGCAATAATAAAGTTGTTTGTTATTGCTTGCGAATTGTTTAACGATTCCTTCAGCGTTGCCATATCGTCTGCTTTATTTGCTTTCTTAGTATTTCCTTATTTCTTTTAATCACCTTAATTGTTGTTGCAAATATTACGTGGTAAATACTATTTGCGTTGGTGTTGGCGTTGGCTTCGGGTTTGTCGCTGCCGCAGCCCAGCCCACGCTCTAGCATTCATACATCATTGCACACGCTCGCTCACGCACGCTTGCCTTTCAGCGCTGGCTCGTTGCAAAGCTTGTGATTTATTTCCCATTTTCGTTGAGGTATTTTGTATTTGCCTTAGAATTCTTTGAAATATGCCACAATCAAATTTGTGCATCAGCACCGCTGTCAGTAGTCATAAAATAATTTTAAACAAGTTGTTGTTGCAGCGCAATTTGAGTGATGAGAGGTGTGGTACTATTTAAAGCATTTTACATGCCGCCCGTTTAGAGCTTTAGCTTCGATGAGATTGTGGTAGATACCTCAAATATTATTATATATTTCGACATAACTATTACGGGAATTAGAAATAACGGCCAGGTGTGGTGCACTTCATTCGGCGGGTCTTAGAAGGCTGTGGAGTGCCCCCGAGTCACCTTGTCACCTTCTGACACTTTGTCAATCAATAATGGTTGGATTCCGTGGAGGGTGAGTGTCTAGGAGTTGCTTTAACGACCCCTCTTTGCTCGCAGTCTCTACACCAGCGCCATTTCTTACATAAACCTTCAGGTTTCGTGACAACCCTCACGCAGAATGCTCCATACGTAACTATTTTGACTTTGTTTTACTCAGACTGATAAATATCCAGTCCTACCTTAAACAGCGCTCAGTTGTTACAAGAGCCGCTTCTATGGGTTTTGTTGAAAGCATAGAGTAAGGGTACCTTAACCCTAATTGATATTTACTATATAAATGATCAACAAGGCGAGCTAAGCTGATTTCGCCCTATCCGTTTTCGGTCCGTCTGTATATATACGATTTTGCAGCCGTCTTTTTCTCACCCGGCTGCTGGTTATTCTATATCGGACCACTATGTCATATAGCTGCCATACCAACTGAACGATCTTCTATACTTTTGAAATCTTTTGTTTTTATTAAGGTGCGTGGTGAAATGCTAAATGTGAAACAAGGCAAATAGAATTCGTATTTATTTATTTAATATTCTTTTATTTTTGGCTTGCACGACGCTGACAAGTGGGAAGCGCAGCTGCGTCATCACGACTTTGTCGCGAGAACATATTTTTTCCACATATTGCCGCGAACTGCAGCAGCGACTAACACAGTTGCTTGCACTTTGTTGTTGCTTTCTCGCGAGCCTTGTTGTTGCCTGCATAGTTAGCAGCAATTTTATTGTTGCCGCCGCCGCTGCCGCCACGGTTTCGCCAATCGCTTTTATTTTTCGGTTAAATCAATTCTGCACGCGGTTGCATTGAACCAGAAAACAAACTGTGCACTGTTGTTGCTGTGTTTCGCTGCCGTTTCGTTGACAATGAGAAACCCAATAAAAAGTACTGCCACAACACAACAATTGTTTAAGTGGCTCTGCCAACAGTTAAATTGCATTTACGTTACGTTTACGTTGCTCTGAATTGCTTGCGCGGCACGTTGAATGAATGAAGAATGAATGAAATTATTGCAAACACGTCGCTTTGATTTATTGTTGCCATGCGCATGAGTAATGGCGCAAAATGCGCGGCTTATGCAAATTGACACACACATGCACACATTATGTTTTCATGAATATTTATCGTTTTTCACTAAAGTGGAATTGTCAATAATACTTACATACCTCATCTTACACATATCTGCATCTGCATGCATACTAATTTTCGTGCTGCAAGTGTTAAGAAGCCGCAGGCTAGGCTGTCGAAAAATAGGTGACTAACCGAAAGCAGACCGTGGTTGTGGTTTTTTGACAGTGCTTAGTTTTCGGCATCACACTTTGATGAGCTGAAGGCCTAACAACTTTGTTATAAGAACGGAAATTTCATTCTTCGAGAATTTTCTTCATAATTCTTCACTAACTTATGAAATAATAGTATAATGGTCCGCTTCAATCCCAACGGGCAACCAGAACCACAGTGGCTGTCAGAGCAGATTGCTTTTCTTCCTTTCTTTCTACTCTCTTTCCTCTCCGCAATAAAAGTGACAGAGACCTTTAGACCAAAACGTCTATCTTCCTTTCCTTTTTTCTCAGTATTGAATTGACAGTTTCGAAGGACCTTTGCATAAGTCCAGAAGCCAGTTAGATTAATTTTCATCCTCTTTTTCATTGACGACTTCGTTGCTTATGTGATTTTGACGAGTCTCATTCGAGAATTTAGTTCATAACTCCATCAACTTATGAAATATTAGAATAATAGCCCGCCTTTAGCCCACGAACAGCGATTGCCAGAGAGGCTGTCCGACTAGATCGTCTTTCTTCTTTTCTTTTTTCTAATGGATAATCACTAAGGCCATCATAGTAAATCGCCTCTCTTCCTTTCGCTATTATCTCTTTCCTCAGCGTTATGGAATTGACAAGTCGGTCAGTGTAGATCAACTTCTTCAACTTCATCTCAGTATTGGAATTGAGAATTTCTAAGAAGCTTTACTTGAGCTCAAAAGCATATGAGATGAGTTCACATCCTTCTTTTCAATGACGCCGTAGTCGCTTATGCATAAAAGAACGCCAATAATTTCTTGTTTTTGACAATCGGTACCGATTGGTAATACTAGATGAAGTACAGTTCTATGATCGCTATGTCAACATCTATCAAATATGTAAATAATTTGCTCAGCTTCAACTCATGAATCCGAGACTACACTGTATTTGCTTAAACCTCAATAATGCTGACTGGTTATTCTGATTAGTCAAATTCATATTTGCATACGCTGGGTACTGGAGAAGACTTGGTAGCAAGTATCTGCAATATAAGAAGTTGCTGAAAATGAGGTCTGTCTGTTTCCTATATTTGGAAAGTGTTACAGCATGAGTCCTCGTATGGCTTATCCAACTGAGAGACTACTTAGGGTTTATCCAGCTTCATCGAAGACACAACCTTCGAAAACTTTTTGTCAAAAATTTAAAGAAGTTGCGCCACTGTGCAATCAATTGCAAAAATTGCATATGCAAACGGTTAAATGCCATTATCTGTTTCTATAATGTCACATAATAAAAGTGGCGGAGTTTACCGCACCAGAAAAAAGAGTGAGAATCAAGGCGTCCATCAATTGCCGGCTGGCCAACTGGCAAAGGTAATGAATGTGTTTGTTTTCACGTTCGATAATTTATGAGCGCAATTGCACGAAACTGTTTCATTGATTAAGACAATACCGAATTGCAAGACGCTAGAGATGCAAATACAAAACTGCAGTGCATACATACAGACCCTGTAGGAATTTTATATTATGAAAAAGAAATATAAAGAAAAAAATGTACTTTAAAATCTCTCAGAAGAAGCAATACATGTCTCATAGCAATCGTGGAAACTTGTAGAGGTCATGGTGGATCTGAGGTTCAATAGTCGGCTATCATAGCGCGATAACAGTAGTTATTGACGATTACGGTCTCACCGGTATCGTTTTTGAAGAAATATGGACTGATGCTTCCACCGCCCGCCAAGCCACACCAAATCGCTGTCATTCAGGTTTACATACCCTTGGGCCTGAAATGAGTCTCACCGATGTCGCTTGGGAAGGTCGAGGTGCTTCTGTTCGTTCTCACGTTTTTTCTACGCTTTCAATTTAAAAGCTCGATATAAAATGCGTTCCATACTACCATTTGCCAGTCCGAGTTGCTGCGAACGGCGCCGAATCGACTCTCCACGGTCTTCGTGTCCTCTCAGCTAGTGATACTATATCTCCTTCATTACAGCTGGACGTGGTCTATTCGGTCGAATATTATCTAATAATGAATGCTGGGCCTAAAGATGATGTAGGAGGATTGGACGATAATCGGTCTAAATCATAGATTTGAGTCCTTTGGTTGTTAGTAGGGTTTAGTAGCTTCCAGATTCAATTCGATTTTACACAAGTATATCTAAGCAGCATTATCTTTTCTTCATTTTTATTTCGGCTTTCACCTCTATGCCGAATTTTCAAATTTTTACATATAATTTACAAAGAAAACGAAAGCAACTAATACTATTTGTACAAAGTGAGACACTACGAACCACTAAACCAGCAACGCCATATCGCTTATTATGATGCTTTTTGTCAGCTTGCCGCTCTTCTTCATGCCAAAGACTTGCATGGAGTCCAACACCTTCGTGCCACTGCTGACCACACCGAATGCCACACGTTTGCCATTCAACACCTGCAACGGCTTCAGACTTATGGAGAACTTCAAGGCGTCCTTATGCAAGGCATCCTGATTGTCCAGTGAGAAGGCCAGCGTGCCTGGCCGACTATGATCCAGTGCACGCATGTCATACTCAATGCGTTTCGGTTTGATTTTCTGCTCTTGCGGTATTAGCAGACAGCAGTCCAGCCAGAGTCCGGGAAAGAGCCGATTAACCAGTATGCGATTTTTGTCTCTATGGCGACAGGCGCGCACAAAAGCCAACACCACCTGCGGGCAGGCCTCCGTGTACAGCTGTATGGTGATACGTCCAGCCGGCCGTAGGCCCTTCACGTAGAAATCGAAGTAGATAACGGGTCGCAATAGACGCCGCAACTGTGAGTAGGGCGGCATTTGCAGTTGGCTATACTTGGCCAAGATCTGTGCGGGCACGACAAACTCAATGGAGTTCTTACGTACATGACGCAGCAAATGCGGTGCCACGTGCGTGTCCAAGGTGGTGCCGACCGTTTTCAGCATTTGTCCGAACTTCGCATTATCGCGCTCGATATAGCGGTTGCGCAGCACGATTAAGGGTATGCGCGATCGCGGCGTATGACTCATGCGATTTTCACGAAACGTATCCAATTGTCCGCCAATGCGTGAGATCATGTTGACGCTGCGCAACAGCTCGTTGTTCATGCGTCGTATGCGATCGAAGGCATTCAAGTCGTCGCGCAATTTTGATGCGCGTAAAACGTCTCTGATATTGAGTTTCGGGGAAACGTCGTCCACGCGCGGCTTCACCAGCAATATCATGTTCTTGTAGTTTTCCACCTGCAGACGGCGCTTCTTCTCGGACAATCTCATGCGTTGCATATTGAAAAGTTGATAATCTATTTGTTCGAAAGCGGTAGAGATTTGAGAAAATAAATTTAGAAAACAAATGAAGTTCGTCTAAAATTTAAAGGGAAATTTGCTATTTGATTGAGTCAGAAGTGAGTTTTTCAATATATTTTTGAAATGTTTGTTTGAGTTTACTGACAGAGTTGCATTTTTAGGGTAATATTTTTTGTTCTAAGAGTTTAAAAAATATTACAGATATACTAAGGAAGCTGGTCCTTGATTGTAATTGGATAGAAGATCGTCAGAATTATTACTTATAATAATAGCTTATACTAATATAAGTAGAGAGATACTCCAATTTTTAGTAAAGCCGCCAATTTTTGTTGCCTTAGTCAGAAGGCTCGACTTCTCGACATTGTTCTCTTAAGTTGGACTTATATTTCTAATGACTTCAGTCCAAAAAGGAACCCAAAATTCGTGTAGCTTCCAAAAGGCGATTTAAAAACCTTGGGTTTCTTAAGTTAGACTTTCTGAGAAATAGGTTCGAAACTATATATTTCTATTCCTCTTTCAAAGAGCTCGAGTAACTATCAAAAGAGGCTTTGGAAACCTTGCTATTTTACACCTTTGTCCACTTAAACCTTTGTCCCCTTAAGTTAGACTTTACTGACTGTTTTCGGCACTATAAATTTCTCTGCTTTTTTCAACGAGTTCGAGTAGGTTGTGAAAGATGCTTTTAAAACCGTTGACTTTAATACCTTTGTCTTTTAGACCTTTGTACTCTTAAGTTAGACGGTATTATATATTTCCACTTTCAAAGAGTTCGTGAGAGAAGTCCAAAAGACTCTCGACTGAATGGGTTCGAAACTATATATTCCTCTAAAATTCTTCATCCACCAAATCTCATCGGATTCCAACAGCTTACGGGTCGCGCTGAAGCCTTCACCCAATAGAATCGCGCAGCGGTTCAAGGTAGACATAAGAAGGTCCTTTTTTCGTTTTATGTGGAAAATTTTTTGTACCAAAATTTCCGCAAGACTTCTTGTGGTTGCATTCATATTTGCAGGTTAGAGCCCCCTTCTCGAGCTGTGCTGAGTTCCGAAAATCTCTGTAAAGTCAAAAAATAGCATTCTTTGCACTTCAGCAAGCCAAAGATACTCTAAAATATTTAGAAATCTCCAAAGGGTTTGTAATTATTCAATAAATACTTAATAGCTTATTTTCAAGCGATTAACACAAATTAATGACGGTGACTTTGTCGCACACCGACTTTTAGCGCTCTGCGCGGCGCATATATCACCGCAAAAGTGGACCCATGTCAACCGTCGCTTTATTGTTTGTTTAGCGCGTTTCTTGGAAGGAAGCGCCGCCAGTTTGGGCCCACATAAAAAGGGGTAAAAATTCATTCGCGCTACGTCAGCGCTAAAGAACAGCGACGTGAGGCGCGCTTCTGTGCTAAGCATGCTTAGCATGATAAATGCAAAGATATCGCTGATTGGAAGATAGCATCAAATCGCCGCAGCTCGCCAAGCTACAGTGCGATACAATTGAGCAATTCGCGCCCGGCTTTTATGCAGGCACTTTATCATCTTGTCGCGACGTGCGAATTTGAATAGCATAACTAGATTGCGAACTTTTTTCGGCGATTGGCTTCTTAATATTTTTTACTTTGTTTGTGTGCTTGTGTGGCTTTTTATTTGCGTTTGTTCTCAACTTTATGCCGTAACCGCCAGCATTTTTCGGCGAACTCACCAAACATTTTTTGCTAGCCACAAATGTGCCAATAAATTTTATTTTATTGGCGCAAAAAGCAAACAACAAACAGCAGCAGAAGGTTAAGCAAAGCAAACCTGTGAGAGAAGCAGCGTGAAGAGCGTGTGTAGCAAAGAGTTTAAGAATGAGCGCGAACTTATGGCATGTAGAAGGTGGGAAAATATGACTGCTGAAGGTGCTCCAGTGCGCATATGTGTCTAGTATAGGGTGGTTCACACAATGTGGGAATATAGCTTGTATACCAGGCAATAGAGCAAGAAGTGACAAGATGATTCCACCTTGCATTCATCCAGACAACTTTAGCCAAAGCATTCGACCGATTATCTATCCACACTTGACTTTTGCGGTTAACACTGGGCCAGAAGGATCACACAATCACACAAGTTATGGTTGTAGAATCGCGCTTGAGCCACTGGAAAGCCACCGCCAAAACAAAAGAAAATATAAAACCCCGACTCGTTTCCAATCAGATGGAATTGAAGAACGTGTGACATCTCTAGCAAGCTCATCGGCTTTGCATTTTGCGGCGATGCCAATAAGCCGCACATAGACCAGTTTTGGTCCTTTGCGATACCAGTTGGACTTCAGTACCTAGGTCCAAGAGAATTAGTCATCCTTTAGGATGCCTGCGCTTGATGCGAATTTTAACAGGCTATTCGGCTTCACTTCGATACCTTTTCCAGTGTATCGTACCGTGGGATCCAGATACTTACAGCGTAGTATTGCCAATGCGGGAATAATGCCACAGAGATGCTCCATTGTTTCCCTGCTGCCCTGCTCTAAATATTTCCTGCTGTCTTCTTGATCTGTCAGCCCCATCAGGGGTCATGTGCCACCACCAGACAGTAACCAGTTAGTATTCCGATCATGTTCCACCCACTCTCCATCTTAATTTTAATCCATCCATGAAAAACTGAGACTTTAAAACCTGAAACTATCAGTGATAAGAAAATTTTTCCTTGTGTAGTTCATGACTCACTTACAACTCTAGACTTCAGGAAAATGGATAAAAGTAGATTCAAGGTCTTTGGATCTATATACCCTAAACTTCGGTGAGTCGGTGTGAGAACTATCGACTATGGTACTTTACATATTATATACGAATTTCTTATATTTTTTTTTGGCGAAATCCAAAACATTGACTTGATACTTTAAACTAGAAATATAAAGCCAATTCTTGAGTACCCTACAATGTATTAAGATCATTTTGCGCTGACCCTGAATATATAGGATAGAGCGAAGTCAGCTCTACTTCCTACTCGAACCCATTTTGAAGCGCTCAAACTAATTGTCATTGAAGAATATAACGAAAACCTGTCTTGTTTGACCGATTTGATTATTGATCATATAATATCACTGAGTAACGACTTTAACACCGACTTACTTCTATTCGTTATCAAAATGTGATGATTTAGCGACCTAACTTCATTTGATAACTGGTTTCTTTTAGCACCACCCTAGTATGCACACTGAGAAATAAGTACAACGGCGTCGCCACGCGGAACTACCAATAAATGAAATGGGATTTTATTTGTTTATTGTCTGGCAAATGATTTATACTTTTCGAAATACGTTCGTGTTTGTTGAGGGTTTTAACGGTTACTGCTCATTTGTTTATTTCTCCATGGCAATACTCCATTTTTGCATTCACTTATATTCTACGCTAGTCGAGTGTTAAATCGGTACGTACGACAGGACGGCAGCAAGCATGTAGCCAGCTTCACAATGCAGCCAATAATAAATAAATAAAATTTCGTTTTTTGGCAAAAAAAGAAGGTTGGAGCAAAGGCTTAATAAAACTGAGTTCAACGATAAATTGCAAAATAAATTGGATTTAAAAAAGGTGCGCGCACGCGCAATTCTCAGGCACAAAGCGCCAGCGGTGAACTGCTAAGAAGCGCACAGCCTCTCCAGCCACTCATCTGGCAAGGCTGCAGAGGTGCGTGCGTATTTTTTATTTGCTTGAAATTTAATTTTGTTGCAAACTTATTGCTGCCATTTCCCTTCATGCTTTGCCTGCACATCCTCCAGCGCAGCAGCCTTCGCAGCATCTTCCGCTATGAAGCGCTGTCTGCTACTAGACGAAGGCAGCGCGGGTTGCGGCCACGCCAAGTCAATAATAAATATGTACACACAATTCACTGTTGAACATTTCACACTTTTATTGGCAACATGCGTGGCCGTGGCGCTGCAAGCTATTCATTCCGCGCTCCAACTCCAGCTCTGGCTGTGGTGGCAATTGTCGTCATTGACGTCGTTGGCGACGTTTCGTTGTTTAAATCAAATATTGGTGACAGCAGCGCGGCTTTATGGTGGCTGGCTGTTGGCTTGGTGCGGCAGCTTGACGCGCGACCGCATTGGCTTGCTGCTGGAGTGTCGCTTCGACGGTTTGTGCCATGTGCCACCAACATTCAAATATATATTTGTATGTGCATTCATAGATTTATTTGCACTTTCGTATTGGCAATGTAAATCGTTTTGATTGAAGTTTAAATTGTGCTAGACCCATGCACAGTCCTGCTCGATTGATGAAATATGTTGTGAAAATATGCGCGGACATTTCTCGCATTGCATTCGCCCATTTACTTTTTTACTGCCACAAAAGTAATGAACATGTAATTTCTTTGGAAATACTGCCTCGACGATGGCTGCGTGAAAATCGATAGACTAGAACGTCTTCTGGGCGTTGACAAACGGCGCTGGGTGTTTACGGTGTGTCGAAATGCTAAAATTTGCTAGAATAATATGTAATTTGAAATAGATCTTTCGAAGTTGCATGGCACTGCTATAAATACTTTTCAATAAAAATCATTTCTTCAAACCCTATCAGTTATTTAGAGATGAAAAATCACTAGAAACTGATCTAATCCCCGCTAGCGTGGCAAGGCTCAGGTTTCCATCAAGGCCACCTAATGATAGGCCCAGGAAATATGCTGTTTCGACGGACTCGGTCCATAGAGAGAGGGCTGTTAGATGACTGGGTTTCGTTGGGATTGCAAAGAGGTTTCTAAAGTCATCTAGAAACTCGTTGCGTCCGAAGTATGATTGGTCTACTGTCCGATGTCGTCGACGTAGATAAGGAAAATCTCCTGATGTTCCTAAAAGAGAGCTCCGCTTCAAGCAAGCGACAAACACTCAGTAACTGTTTGAACTTATGTTCCTTAAGGCTTGCTGTTATGCTCCGAAGTGTGGTGTTCTAACATAAATATAGGAAGCTTTTTCGTCTGCGTTTCAGGCCATACAGGGGACCGTATCGGTGCGTCCTTGTTTAGGACCGGCCGGCCGATTGACTTGTATGTTTCTTCGTCTTTTCTCCGCGTACGAATTGAGGATAGTGGCTCAG